TGCAAGTGTGGGATTACACTAAATTGACACTAGATTGTGAATCACGGCGCTTGAAAAGGGTTGGTGCGTGCCAGTGGCTTGTATTGATCTTGATGTGATGGGGAGTGTGTGTGCGTGGTTTGTACTTCCGAGAGAGAACATTGTTTTGACGTTCTGTAAATCTACCGACTCCCAATAAAGTGTGATGTATTGATACCTATTTCTATCTTTGGGCTTGCGTTTGAACATGACAAGGTGGTGTTGTCCGCAAACTAAAAAAAACACTAGCACACATACTGCAGGGGTGTTCAAAGGCAATTTGCCACTTCATTATGATCTGGCCAACATTTTGAGACTACTGAGGTATTACAGCATGTAATTAATCCATTGCAAGCCATTATATTAGCAATTCATTTGGACAGCAGAGACAGGCCAGCACAGCTCGTTAATGCATGGTATAAGCACTAACGAGGTATGCTTGGTATAAGCTCGTATGATACAGCTTTGCAGAATTGTCTCTTGCTTAAGAATTCTGGAAATATAGTGCTGTATTACTGTGGGTGCACATACTATCGCATTCACAAATTTTGTATGCAGGCAAGTATCGCTTGTGTCGTAGTTATCATTGGCATAGTTACTGCAATTTGTGTGAGATGCTGGGTGCTGAGAAAGGTGAAGTATTGCTGTTGGTTTCTTGGATAGCACTTAATAATATCTATCATGAGCCTTGTGTGCACCGGCAGCTTCATCACTTCCTTGCATTTCGCCCATCTCACCAAAACTACATGCACTTGTCATGTTTCTAGCCCTGTGCAAGGTCAGCAGGTTTGCAGTGTCATTTTACTGCGTGTGATAGTTGTTTTCTTTTTTAAAGATTTGATCCGAACCCTTTGAATGGATGGATTTCTGGGATCACAGTTCATGGTAAGCAATGCTTGCTGTGTGAGCCCTAACCCCTACCATCCGACCGCGCAATTCCATGTTCACGGCAGAATTTGGTGGCGAAAGCTTAACGTGCCGCAATGCCCGGCACGGTCCGTCCTGCTCTCTGACGTCAACTGACCTTCAGCGCGACCGCTGCCACCGGTCGCAGGTCATACCTGTCAAGGGCAAATAGCGAGCGCCCTAAAGCGACTCGAATCCACCCCGCCACGGGTGGGTGGATCGGAATGCACGCGCTCTAACCAACTGAGCCACCGGGACGGACGAACTTATGCGTGCGAGCTATCGAATCATCCTGGGTTCTTGATCAAAGAAGAATGACGTGGCATGCCTGTAGTCTCTGATTTTGATATTTCATAGACACCATCCATGCGTAGACACATTTTAGTACGCTACCCTCACTGCCGGACGGCGAACATCACAAGGTCCCATTGACCCGATTGTTTGCTTCTGGAAGACATCTCGTTACCATACAGGATAAGAGCTCAGCGTAGCTAAAAAAAAGCAAACACTTCACTGAAAAGAAATCGCACTGCCCTCTTACCACCATTTAACCTGATTGCCCTATGTTGAGTACCGTCCGAGTACCCCCAAACGATCTTGCGATGCTAGATGCGTGGCCAAGCTCATGCCAGGGTTGTATCGATAGTTATGGGTACCGTGCCCAGACAACCTCCACGGTGTATGTACGATGCCGATGTAGTCCTCGGCTGGTAGGATTGTACTACGTGGTGGCTCTGCCGTGATCCTCGCTACCACACCGGCCCATTATCCTTCACACATCGTGTTCCCGGCGAGGCGTCTCTTTCCGCCATTCACCTGGCCCTCCTGGCCGGCAACACAATGTTCATACACGGTGAGTGCGAAGATTACCTTTGACCCGCGTCATACCAACAGATAACTATTTGCCAATACTTACAACCCTTTGGCAATTTTGTTACGTGGGCAGTGGTGTATCAGACAGAGAAGGGCTCCATAAATACCACAACCGAGCTTTATTTATTATGGAACGTCACGTGCTCAATATGGTTTGCTGAGGGTCGGAGGCACCATTTCCGGTGCCACAAGACTGTCGAATGACTGTGTCGTCGACACGTCTCGTTGACATGAATGACACTACTGTTGCCTGTGAATATGCATGTATGCGGGTTTATGTGTGGGGAAGGAGCTACCGGTTACGTTGGTACCTCGTGATGTCACTTGCGATCCTGTCGTGCACCTATTATGTGCGCAACTTACCTGGCGGTTGGGATATCAAAACGTTTGGAAAAAATGGTAACAGGCAAAGGAGGACGAACATACAATTGCAGGCATAGTTTGCAAAACAGTTACAGAGGGCGATGTGCTACTGCCCATTTCAGGTGCGTGATCTTACGATGTCATAATTCATGACGCATTCGGATTTTGTGTCGCTAGCCATTCGTTCCAGCGGCCCCAGAGTATCCAGACTACTTCTAGCAGGCCCAATGACGTTGTTAAGGACGGCCCAGTCCGTCACAATTTGCCTTTCTCCTCAGATCTCAGTGACTTCATTTTACAGTCGTCAACGAATAATGCATGTTTACGCTTGGACGTCCCTTTTGCACAAAACCAGCCGTATAAGACGTTTTTCCTGGATTGCACGACACCGCCAGCAATGCGAATTGCCGCCTTATACAATCTTATGTTCAGAACACAAAAATATGATTTCACAGTACTCGTAGAGCTCGAGGCCGAAAACCGGGCCTTTTATTATCGATCCCATGGGCCTCGTGACCCTGAAGACCTGAGGAGGCACGTGAACACAGAACCCCTAGCCCGCGCCATTAATGATCAGAGCCCACGCTTGGCTGCGCTTGTGTGAACCCTGACCCCTCCACCATGCGATCGTTAAATTCAAGCTCAATGACAGCATTGTGTGGCGAAGGGTCAACTTGTGCTGCAGCGGCACGGCCCGCCCTAAACCTGTGGTCTCATCTAAACTATGTATTTGACCCCTATTTAGAGAGGATGTGATAGCCATTAATTTTGGGGGGAAGGCCCACTTTTCCCAAATTAAAGGCATTGTTCCTACCAGCAGGCTACCAAAACGCATGCCAAGGAGGTTCCCATAATTGAGCTAGGGAGTAATAAATCGTGTCCAGAGGACCTGTTCTACACCAAGGGGCCCGTTCCCTCATCATGAAGCCATCTTTATGGATCATGTCCACGCTCGAGATTAATACATATACATGCTAGAGGCCCTTTGTCGGCTCGGGAGGCCCCCGTTACGAACTAGGAGACCCCGTTCTGGGGTAGGAGGCATCCTCTATATTCAGGAGGCCCTGGTGTCAGGAGGGCAGAGTGTCTCAGCGGCGCGTTTGGTCCTCCGCGCTGCATCGTGGGCAAAGTGGCTCCCTGACAGCGTCGTTGTGTTCCCGCGATAAAATCGTAAATACATATAATGAAAATATATAGAATAAAATATATAAAAACATATAATCTAGACCCAACTAAACTGAATATGTCAGATTACGGAGGGCCATGTCTGCTGGCGCGCACCGCCTGTTGCCCCGCAATTATCGTTCGATACTGTGCGACCAGGAGCCACTGAAGAAGCGTTGTGTTTTTACACATGAATGACGCTGTAATCGTCTGACTGTGTTGTGGTCAGACTGTCAACCTGAATGTTACGTACAGTCGTGTCCGCCTGATCTCTTCGCTGGTTTGGCATACGCAGGCTTCCGTTAGATGTTCTTTTGCGCGATACAAATGCCAATTCAAACTGATATTCACTTGTTCCTTTAAAATTTGAAGCTGTCGGATGAACAATCTGAGCGGAAAAACAGTGGTACAGTGCAGGTAACGGGCTGGTACGCCCCTGTTGAGACACTGGTACACGAGATGGTACACGGGATGTTTACTTCTGGCTGGTAAAACTAAGGGAGCGGAACAGAGCTAGTCCCCTGGTGGGTGAAACTGAGGGAGCGGAACAGCGCTGGTCCCCTGGTGGGTGAAACCAAGGGAGTGGAACAGAGCTAGTCCCCTGGTGGGTGAAACCAAGGGAGTGGAACAGAGCTAGTCCCCTGGTGGGTGAAACCAAGGGAGTGGAACAGAGCTAGTCCCCTGGCGGGTGAAACCAAGGAAGTGGAACAGAGCTAGTTTGCGAAGCTGCAGTGTCCTGGGGGGGGGGGGGGGGGCTGGTATTGGTGTGGTAAGGGAGGCAGAGAGGTGGTTGGAGAGTGCAGTCCCGTGTAGTAGCTGGGTGGCAGGTGTGTCGTTAACACCACATGGACACATCGACCACCGCCTTGTTATCAACGAAAGAAATAAAATTTCCTGTCACACTAACTAAAAATTTGGTACAAGAACTCCCCGTCCCTGACAACGTCATTCGGCTTGCTGGTAAAAGGCTGGATAAGCGGGGGGCCCCGTAGGAGAAATGGCTAGCGACACCAAATAAAAACAATTTTTCAAAAACATTTTACACCCCAACTACCAGTCAAGTTTTGCGCATGATAGGTGAAAGACAGGATCGCAAGTGACACCACGAGGTACCAACGTTACCGGTAACTCCCTTCCCGAACATGAACCTGTGTATATGTACACATGCATATTCCTAGCGCCATGGGTACCCGACTTACCATGCTTTCCGCCCGCCCTCCTGTTGCTATATTTTCCAAATCGTCTAACGATGCGAAGCGATTATGATATAAAGGACCACATCGGCGACCCAGTGTCATTCGACAGTCTTGTGCCACCGAAAATGGTACCCCAACGCTCAGCGAACCATGATGAGCACGTGGCCTTCCGCAATAAATATGCTGCGCTCAATTACCACACTTATTGACCTTATTTATACCCAATTAACAAAACTGTCCAAAGATTGTAAGTCTTGGTAAATAGCTATATGTTGGCATGCCGCGGATGAGAGGAAATCTTCGCGCTCACCGTGTGCAGCCGACGACACCCGTTGAATATCAAGCTTATTTTGTTGCGCGCGTTTTCAGAGCAGCAGCTCTCCTGTCACTCCACACGCTCTGTAAGAAGCCCTCGAGAGGCGCCCAGGATCGGCTCCGAGCGAGTGGTGCGTGTCCCAGGCGTCGCAGAGTGCCGCCTACCTGTCACGCAGGATCTCCTCGCCGCTATGGCGCTTGGTATGCAGCGTGCCTTTCTCGGCGGTCGGCGCCGGCGCCGCCTCCTGCTGACAGCTGCTGCCGCACTCGGTCACTGGGGAACGGCAGCTGCGGTCACCGAGTGCACACCTGTCGTCACTGAAGACCAGCAGCGTCACTGCTCACAACAGCCCATCCGCGATACCAGCAGCTGCGGTCACTGAGGGCACACCAGCCGTCACTGAAGACCAGCAGCGTCACTGCTCACAACGGCCCACCCGCGATACCAGCAGCTGCGGTCACTGAGGGCACACCAGCCGTCACTGAAGACCAGCAGCGTCACTGCTCACAACAGCCCACCCGCGATACCAGCAGCTGCGGTCACTGAGGGCACACCAGCCGTCACTGAAGACCAGCAGCGTCACTGCTCACAACAGCCACCCGCGGCACCAGCAGCTGCGACTTGCACTGGCCTTGACCCCATCGATCACCGCGCCAAAGAGCGATGAACGGCACTCCCAGTTTAACATTACATCAATAACTTGTAACGCGACGCATGTGAATAGAAGGGGCCGAGCTGAGGTCCGCGCCTGAATTGAGGACGCTCACCTAGCTGCTGCCACGACCTGTCGCCACGCACTACACATCCGTCCATCGCGACAAATGTCTAGGTAAGGTTCTGATACCTGTCACGCATTGCGGTGCGTCGGCTGCCATGAATTCCTGACGCGCCTTCCGGCTTTACAGAGACCGCGACAGAGGCCAGTCACGGGCCTCCCCACTCAGGGCGGGTCCGATGTGTCACGAGAACAGCAATGGCGTAATCGGAGCTCACCCACATTGGCAAGATTGTGGTCCAAAATAACGAGCTTCGTCATGAAAAGGTTTGGTTCAGAGGTCATCGGCGGAAAAGGTGCTGCACTGAACAGAGACGGGTAATGCCACCCTTATACAACGGAAATAAAATTAATCCGCCAGGTGCAGAGATACTACCGCACGCGGATCAGCTGGACGGCCGCAGGCGGCAGCCTCGACTTGCGGACAGTTCTCGAGACTTCTCCCGCGCCATTTTTCCATGCTACCGCGCCAATGTGCACAAGTGGTGCCAGACTCGTCTCACTCTATCTTGAAAAGGTCGGCCGGAACAAATACTCAGCACGGAAACACTCAAGCGCAACGTTGCGGGGGAAATTTTGTGTAAAATTACACGCTCTGCTTCTCCGGCGTGTTGACGAGACCGATTCGGTTAAGCCGCCTCGATAGCTCCGTTGGTTAGAACGCACGCCTGCGACTGTACCCAAGCGTGACGCGGTGAGCTGGTAACGTGGCGTGAGAGCACTTTCAGCGCTCGCTATTTAAAGACATGAAGCCATGAGGCCAACAACGTGACACAGCAGACAACATTCTTTTTTGCCGTCACCCAAGAACAGGTAATCAGGAGTGCCCCTCCCACTATCCCAGCGACACAATAAACCGCACGTTAACATCAGAAAACACAGAAACAGGTCACGGCACTCCCAGCTGGGAAAAGGAAACAAACATAAAGAAGCAGGCGAAGAGGTGGTGCGGACACGGCAGAACTGTGCTATGCAATAAGCAAGGGCAAATCAGACATGAGAAGGCTTAGAGTAGTCATAGCCAAAGACAGCTTGTGACAGCCCGCTAGAACCACCCAATAAGCTACTACCACTCATTCATATTATTAATAAAGGTTGTACAGTCACGCAAGTCGGAGGGAAAATTAACTGGTTCCTTTCGTGCCGAGTTTTGAGCTGGATGTCCAAGGAGTCCACGCAGCTAAGTGGAGCTTGTAAGAACTCCCAGAGCCAGCGCCATGAATTTGGGTACGAGTGCATGAATGTAACTATGTCAGAGAGCGATTATGGAGCATGAAGAAGTTAAGTATGGTGAGTTACATATGCGCAGGGCAAACAAATTGCAATATCTTCACATCTGCCGGCTACGTTAATATGCATTCAAGGAATGCTTATGGATGTTCTTAAGTATGGCTTTTGATGCAAAGATGTCAGTTATTCTTGGAAGATATGAAATAATCACATCGTTCCACGGCTTGGGGCCTGGGCAAGATGCTGTAAATTGTTTGTAATTACGATAAGAGAAAGGGTGGTCTAAATGCTTTACTAGCCTCACATCCATCTTATTTGATTTGTAGAGCTTGTATATTGAATAAAATGATGCAGAAAGCTATGAAGTTATTAACTTGTGCATCACAATTAACATTTGGGATTTAGCGATGTCCGATAATCTCAAAATTTTGTATCGTTTCAAGAGTCGCTTTGGGCTTTGTGGAGTGTACACGCTTTCTATCAGACGCACAGCCCTTTTTCAAAATTACCAACCCATCTAGTTGAAAGCCATAACTCACACCCCAAATCAAGTAGCATCAATTCAAATAACGAAGAATTAGAGTGGTTTAGAGTAGATGTGACATACTTTTATCAATGATGTATCTAATCCTACTCATTATCTCAACATTCTTACTTAAATTCCTCGCAGCGACATTAATGTGACGCGTAAATTAAAGAGATTTGTCAATGAGCACACCAAGGTCTTTGATTTCTTTTTCTCTTCAATTAGGTAAATTGTTAATTTGTACATTTAGTTATAAATGCAAAAAAGGGTAGTATAATGCTGTGTAAATGGTTTTGATACATTGAATGAAAGAAAATAAGCACTAAGCTAGGAAGTCATTAGGAACAACGACAAGAAACATTGTTTTGAAGTTACGCCATATTAATTTAGGCAAGTCATTTATGTGCATCATGAATTAAACTGGGCCAAGAACTGATCCTTGCGAAACACCCATGGTTACGTTTTTGAATGATGATCGATAATTCCTGCTTTTGACGCATTGAGTTTTGCCAGACGGATAGGAAGAAAAAATTTCATGAGATTTTTGTCGAATACCATAGTTAATAAGTTGACGTAGAAGAAGGTTTATGTTAACAGCATCAATTTTTTTCTCCGATCTACGTACAAACCTGGTACATATTTTCCGTTTTAAAATGGTTTCGTGATAGCTTCCTGGAGAAGAAGAACTGGCGCGTAGGTAATTTTGTTCTTCTGAAATCCAAACTGATTTTGGTAAAATCGGTAATTTTGGTTTAAGTGAAATATTCCATTTGCCCCTCACCGGGATGGCGTGCGGCCGGTGGCAGCGACCGCGTTAAAGGGAGCATCCCACTTTTTTGTACATTTCCCTTATAGTTATATTAGACACGTGCGATGTGACGAAAAATGCCAGTTTTCTCGACGTCCTTCAGAAAGGCTCAGAATTTCGATTTAAAGAAGCCGTTCCTGCAGAAGACATCTTATTTGACTCCCTTCTCTCCAATATGATAGTAATATATTAAAGTTGCCTCGCTTTTTCCGACAGGTGTGCCCTGCAATGTTTACAACACACTGAGACGTCAAAATGTTCGTGTAATAAATGCTATGGGAGCTTGAAACCCTCTCATAAGCAAAAAAGTAGGCCAACATAAAGCTGTTATCCTGCGAATTCAGCGGAACGTTTTACTGTAGTTTTGGTTTTCTACCTATGACATTTACCACAGTGGCTCTTTTTCAGGCGCACTTTGGCTTTGGGAATGGAAGTATCACATGGCCAATATCGAACGCCTTGGTGCAAACTTCAGCCGGTACGTTTCTCGGCAACAGGCTCTTGTCGGCCGCTCGGCCAATCACAAACGTTATTTTCTTCGCATCAGTATACATGCGCATGGCACCTGCCAAGTGAACAATGGCCGCGACAGCAGGGAAGAAGCAAAGTGCCGTTACAAAACCAGCGTAATCTGGACTCGAAAACAATTAAAACTGACATCCATATTGTCTTGACGGTGCTACAGTGACACTACCCAGCCCTATTGTTGGACAGTACTGGTCCTGAGGTTTCACTAGAGCTTATTTATTAAATATGCCCAGAAGGTGGGACCTTTAAAGGTCAGGTGGCGCCAGAGGGTAAGACGGACCGCACCGAGTATTACAGCACGTCAAACTTCTGCTACCAACTTCTGCCGTTGGCCCAGCATTTCACGAATAGGTTGGGGTCGGGCCCACGCAACAAGCACTGCTCAGCGTGGGCTCTGGGTCCAGACCATAGCCAATCGCCAGTTTCGGGCTAATAATACAAAAATTGGGGCTCCAGTGGAAGCAAGCGAGCAAATGCATGTGATAAACTTAGAATTGCCTTGAAAAATTGGCCCGCGGCGTCATATAGGAATTCAATCATAGAAAATGGACGGAACGAGAACGAGGGAAGCTGGTCTCAGAAATATGCATACGTTATCATTTTTTGTTCATCATCATAATCGTTTTTGTGATACGTGTTCCACATTCCAACATGCTGGCAACAGTGTCACATCAAGTGAACGCATGACTTGCAGTACACTTGACAGTTGACACACAACGGTGCAGTTGGACGTGCGGGTGAGGACAACCGGAATACTGACCTCAATCGTGGGCTGAAAATGCCACACGGCAGGCGTGGCATCAGCAGACCAACATTCAGTTAAGGTACTAGCTCTAATGGAAAGAATAAAGGGCTCTTTCCTAATGTCGAAGAGCGTACCTGCCCCTGCGAGCATGTGCATCCACACACACAACAACCCCCATGTACATATCGATATAGCCACAGCTGCGCCTACACAGCAGCCGTCTTCACACCCACAGGCACTGACAGGACCTTCAAGCGTGCCTTAATCGGTTCGGACGTCGGCTTGGGACAAAGCACCAATGATGTTTGGCTTAATCTGCTTTGCCCCCCCCCCCCCCCCCAGGTTTGTCAATTGTAGTTATGCCCATACAAACGCCAAAATCGAAGCGAATGGGTATTAAAAACATAGCTAGACGGGGTCAACGCCACATAACGCACCTAATTCGGCAGCACATGCCCAGCACGGTGATGTAATTCGTACACTGTATCGCGCTCATGCTTTCACGTGCTTTCCCAGTTCTTCTTTTAAAGGTCATTTCCCGATATGACGGATATAATCATGACGTGCTTCTGGACCACAAACCTCAATCAACGTGAGTCACGAAGTATTGCTACCTCTTGTTGTAAGCAGAATAATACCAGCGGGTTATGGGTTCAGACAAGTATTTTACACAGTGTTCGTATTCTGGCAGCGCAAATCAAGACAACAGAACAAGTTTCCGATATCTCGCTAGTGCCTGAACACTCCATATGAGTGGACGCTCTGACCTTTTTTTTTAGCTGCTACGGCAGTTAATTTCCGCTGTGCGATGGTGCGTGATTGTTACCTAGCATTGCCTGTTGACGCTGTCTCGACGGGCATATTTCCGACATTATATGGCTATATCGCAATAAGGCCTTCTCCCCCCCCCCCCGGAGACCTTCGCATTCCCAATGGGGAGGGGGGGGGGATTATCCTGGCTGGGACGCTTGGCTAAGACGAGTCACAGTCGCCGACAAACACAGCGGAAGATAACAGCTCGGAGTTCTGATGGTGGCAATAATCGACCTTCAACATGCACGGAGCACTCATACCTGTCATATTGGCTCATGAAAAATACAACAACAAATTGTGAAAGACGGCGCCAGACTACAATAATTTGAGCAGGCCGTGAAGGACTAGGTGACCGCGCCAGCCGTAACAACGGTGGGGTGCAGCACGCAGCTGACGCGGCAGCAGCCGCCTGTCAACACCCTTATTCGACCTGTCGTGACCTTGACTGAATGGCCCAAGCAAATGGCATGAACGTCCTCGAACCCAACGGCACAATGTCCACCTTTTCGCCGAAAAGACTTCTTTAGAATAGCTTGGGACATGCCTCTACAAAAAAACGGAGGGTGAATTACCGAACTCCTGTGCCGGTAAAGGCTATGATACACAAACCCATGCCCTCACCTATGACAAACTTCCTCTGGATGCCTACTCGATGGCATTTACGGTTCATCATATTCATCCTCATTAGAGAAGTGAGACGGTATCACACCGTGCACCTCGACGTCGTCAGGCGCCACGCCCGTCGTCGCCCCATCAGCGATCAGCCGTGAGACGGCATCACACCGTGCACCTCGACGTTGTCAGGCGCCACGCCTGTCATGACCGCATCAGTGATCAGCCATCTTATAGACTCGGCCTAGACGATGGTCCTCCAGCTCGCACATCTGGCGCGGGTGTGTGATGACCCACTGTGCTCGAGTCTCGGAACTGTCACATCACGCTAGGATGGCCGCTGGCGCGTCATGAATGACTCGCAGCAACGCGCGTCACAGCCAGCGGACGACGGCAGATGGCGGAGTGGATCCGCGCTCCGCTGCGGACGAATGCCCGCCATCTGCAGCCGGCGCACGACGGCAGATGGCGGAGTGGAGTCGCGCTCCGCTGCGGACGAGTGTCCGCCATCTGCAGCCGGCGCACGACGGCAGATGGCGGAGTGGAGTCGCGCTCCGCTGCGGACGAATGTCCGCCGTCTGCAGCCGGCGCACGACGGCAGATGGCGGAGTGGTGTCGCGCTCCGCTGCGGACGAATGTCCGCCGTCTGCAGCCGGCGCACGACGGCAGATGGCGGAGTGGAGCCGCGCTCCGCTGCGGACGAGTGTCCGCCATCTGCAGCCGGCGCACAACGGCAGCGGAGTGTACCCGCGCTCCGCTGCGGACGAGTGTCCGCCATCTGCAGCCGGCGCACGACGGCAGATGGCGGAGTGGAGTCGCGCTCCGCTGCGGACGAGTGCCCGCCATCTGCAGCCGGCGCACGACGGCAGATGGCGGAGTGGTGTCGCGCTCCGCTGCGGACGAATGTCCGCCGTCTGCAGCCGGCGCACGACGGCAGATGGCGGAGTGGAGCCGCGCTCCGCTGCGGACGAGTGTCCGCCATCTGCAGCCGGCGCACAACGGCAGCGGAGTGTACCCGCGCTCCGCTGCGGACGAGTGTCCGCCATCTGCAGCCGGCGCACGACGACAGATGGCGGAGTGGAGCCGCGCTCCGCTGCGGACGAGTGCCCGCCAACTGCAGCCGGCGGATGCCAGCAGCCTGGGCGGGCGGCAATATCTACCGCCGCCAGCCCAAACGCCACTTCTCACACTAATCATGTCATTTACCTCGGTTAGGGTTAGAATGAGTTTGTCCGAACCTGCACCTCTCAGCCGGTGTAATCAAGGGGAGCCCGGGAACACGCCCCGCGGCGCATGATCAATGGACGAACGCCTCGGCAGGGCCGACGAACGAGAGCAGCAGCGGCCTGGGAGGTGCGCAATCAGGGCCGCCGCACGCAGCTGTTGATGGCAGACGGATAGCCAATCACGAGCCGATTTCAGAGAGCGTCAGCTCGTCGCGAGAAATCGACACCCGAGCGCGGAAACTACAGGATGGCCGCAGCGAAATCGCCGCAAGACACTCGCACCGACCGGCTTCATACAGAGCTGCACACAAAGCGGAGCCAGCTCTAGCCGTGACCTCACCGCGCAAAGCCTGGCTTCGACCCGCCCGATAATTGCTTCAAGACGAGATCCGAGGAACGAGACCGGAGTTTAACAACTCTTGAAAAGCATGACTGCCTACGCACCAACGCACGTGCTATTTCACGGCGATGTCGACAAAACGATGCAAGGGAGCACGAGGTGAAAAAGCATTGTCTCACTCTAGTTCATGCCTTCCTGTGAATTCAGTTACCCAGGCTATTGCAGGTGGAAGCGGAGGCCTGATGATCTCTTGTTGAAAAACAGACATGTCTGCTAAATAGGACCCCAGCCTTATTGCCTCCGCGCTGATTTCACGCATTAAAAGCCAATGAGCTGATCAGGCCGCTGGACAGTCCTCTGAACGTCGCCTTACCGGAAACCACTGGCGCGCTCCGTTCTCGCGAGTTATGCAGGACGTCCAGTACATTTTTGTCGCACCAGCTCTGGGCAGCACTGTTAGTGGCGTCTGCCCACGGACGTGCGTCGAGTCGTGTCTCCTGGATTAGGTTCAAGGGTCGAGAATACAGCGCCGAATGTGGGCTGGTAGCCACATCGACTTCACTCGAAGCTCGCGACATTTGCCATCTCTCCATCGACAGATCCCAGTTCCCCCAAGATGCGCCACACCGGCTCTTCCCAGCATTCTCCAACCTTGGTCGGTTTACAACCTGGTTGCCGGCATGCGGTTTCTGTGGTCACCGCGGCAATCGACATGGTCGCCACGATCCTTCAATGATCTTTTAAACCTCCAAATAGTTCCACTATTGCTACATAGCTTAGTTTCACAGTTCAGACCAAAATCAGTAAATCAATAACAAACATATCATAGAATGAACTTCTGTGCCACGGAACTGGCCGAAACACGCGTAGTTTGAAAGCGAATTTGTCATCAAAATACGCTTCGGATCAGGCAAACCTATGGACACTTTGCTAGCCAGTTCTGCGTTAGCATGGATGCAACGAACGTGCCATGTTTTCGACTTCTTCTTTTTATGGAAGGCTGGCGGCATCTGCCGGCAAATTGAGCTTTTCTGTCATCCCCAATTATCGCGCGTTCATACTCCGTCTGCATACCGCAAACAATCCCCAATGTTCTCATTTAATCATCTCGATGATTCCCTACCAATCGTTTGCTTTCAGCCGTTCACGTGGCGAAGTGCCGTCCACATTCGCGAACAGTCGGCAGCGGCTCAATGCGTTAGTGACCAGCTTCCCCGCATTTATGTAGGTGGTGACCATGTCTTTGGCTGCGCGGCTGTCCCTCTCAGCTAGCGCCGCCTGTACAGTGGCCCTCCAGATTGCCAGCATGTCTCGCTCCGCCAGTGTCTATACTGTGCGATGTTTTTGAGACGCACCCCGTCTGAACCAGAGTGACTGGCACCGTCTGAATCAGAGCGATTGCCAATCGCTTCCAAAGTTGTACGCTCCCCGGGGCTGTTGGTGGCTGTGCGTGCGTACCCAGCTGTTTGGCCTCGGCTGTATACACTCGAGCTGGTAATACATTGCACATTCTGTCAACCATCGTAGTTGAACGTACTCTAGTGGTTGGCCACAGTTGTGGGCACCCGTGTGGCTGGCAGTGGTTGCAAGCACCCCAGTGGCTGGCCATGTCTGTGTGCATCCGGCTGGCTGACAGTGGTTGCACGTACCAGAGTGGCTGGCAGTATTTGCAAGTATCAGAGCGGCTGGCCATGCCTGTACGCTCGTGGCTAGCCGGCGGTGGTTGACGTACCCGAGTGGCTGCCCATGACCGTACGCGTGTGCCTAGCCGGCGGTGGTTGACGTACCCGAGTGGCTGCCCATGCCTTTACGCGCGTGCCTAGCCGGCGGTGGTTAACGTACCCGAGTGGTTGGAAGTCTTGCGTAGCGATGTGAGCCGGAAGAAGGGCGGCGTCTCGGTGCGCTCGATGGTGCAGTTCATCGACTCGACCGTCTGCAGCTCGGCCATCAGCTCCTCCACCAGCTGGTCGGGCCGAGCGCGCGCCATGTACACGGCCACCCGCTGACCCTGGCGACAGTGCGGGACAGCATCGAGTCACGGCGGGCCGGGCAGGGGAGGGGGGGGGGGGGCGGACTTGGGTACGCGTCACCGCCAAGCACGCCAGTCGCGCACGGTAACTACCAGAGGTGAGACCGGTAACGTTGCGTGTGAGCGTTCAATACGGGCATCGACCCGGCGTCAGGAGGACATGGGATGCCCGACACCGAGACTGGTGGGGGCGGTCGGGCGGGCGGCACAACGGCGCCCTCACGGCACCAACGCATGGTGCGCCTGCTAGCTCGGGGAGCTGCCCAGATTCGGACGGTCTGCAGCGGCGGGTCTGGAGCCGGCGGGGCTCACGTAAGGCAGCAGCTCGTTGGGTGCCATGCCGCACAGGATGAACAGGCTGCGCAGGATGATCTTGAGGTTGTTGGGCCAGCACGAGCAGAGCGCCGCCCAGAGGTCCTCCATCTCCTTCGGGTGATCATCCCCGATCTGCGGGTGGGGCGCCGCTGTCAAGTCGAGGCTCGGCGCCGGCTGCCTCTTTCACCGGAAGCTCAGCGTTAGCCGGACGTCCTGCCGCGGCTCGGTGGCGTCGGCGAGAAGGGCACTGACCACAGTGATCAGTTCCCCGACGACGATGTTGAGGCACAGCCGGAGGAGCGGCACGGTGTGCATGCGCCACTAATTTCCATATAGAATCATCCCAACTGTACATGCTTGCCTTACATGAAACACTGCTGCACCAAACACGCTCTTAATATTTAGGGATCAGTTTGCTTAAGAACCTACCATGAGTGCGTACCTTTTAACAACATTCCAGCAAACATCCAAGTCCATCTCGGCTTAGGTCAAAACCGCAAAACCCGGCACATTCATTCGATGACGACGATGATGATGATTTGAGATGAAGGACTAGTTATGGAGGTCACACGCCTCCGGGAATGTATACAAATGGGCCGAACCAATTTACTGGGAAGCCCGTCTTTCATGACACTCTGGCAGACGCGTGTAACGGACTATGTACCGTTCTGGCGCTCGTTCACAAATCGCACCGTCTACCATCGGACGACTGTCGGTCTGACCAGGCCTGGTTTGCGGTCAACAACATCGATGAAGTTGCAGTGTTTTTTTTTTTAAAACAACAACGGCAAATACAAATCAGTGCCATGAGGCTGACCTTGTCGTGAGCATCAAACCTTTGGCGTTGGACTACATTACGACTGTGTGTTTACACCGAGTGCGTCGCACCGGTCAATAACGGACATCTTACGACCAACTGATTTCCATCACGCATCAAAACCCTGAATATTCTTGGCTTCATATTCGACAGCGCACGACATCAAAAGCTCTTTGCGGCGATATTTGGTGTCCTTCGCATATGGTCGTTTTCCAGTAAAAATTCGTGAAACGCGGGTTCTAACACAAGATTCATTGGCTTTCATGTCTTACCATGTAATAAAAAGTTCATGCTATCTGCGAGCTGCGCGATTTGCTTGGCATTTTGCCGCCGTCTGAACAGGTTCGCCCGCCGCGGAATGTTCACCGGCATCTCATAACTTGGACTGAATATACATGAGCCAACTAATGCCACTGTAATTTAACGCTTGCAGTTGAAGCACATTCGCTGTCGGCTTATGGTATAGACACGCCGTTGTTTCTTATGTTGTTCTTGACTACCAGATTTGAGGTAGGCATGTTTCTATCTCAAGCCAATTTTACGAGCATCTTCGGACTAATATGACAGTCATATTCTACAATCAGTGCGACGCCTGCAGCGGTGAGGGACGAGCGGAGCCATAAGGCATGTGAAAGATGTCAGTTGTTAATATACAGATGATGTCAAAAATGATACGATGAGGACGAACATCCTTGGCAACCAATACCAATCGGTTTGGAGCAATGGGTTGCCAAGACTACCGTTCGTAAAAAGTTAGCAGGCAGACATCCAGTTATCGGGCGTTGGTAATTTTAGTCGATCAAAGCAAGGAACTTGAAGTGTTTTCCGATCTAGGTATTTGTCACCAGAGTACTGAAAACGAAAAATGATGGAACATCAAATAAAAAATATGTGATAAAAAATGATTACAGAGCTTGGCACCAGTGACATTTTGATGGCTCAATATCTCTTCATGTAGGCCACAACATCTTGGATATGAGATCAGTTTAGAAAAAGGTGACAATGGTCGCTATCTGGTCGGTTACTTGCACAGTCGTAGGCCAGACAGTGCTGAGGTGCGCCAGGGACCTGGAGTCGGTATATCTGCCTGGTTAGTTTGATTTGCACGCGACACAGCGTGATGGTCTGCACTCCACGACCCGCATTTTTGCGAATAGAACTGGCCGTTTTTCCCGTCGCTAGAGATTGTACATTTTGTTTCGCTGTGACACTGGGTTACCAACATGTGGACATGATTCGACCTTTGTTGTTCAGATTTTTCGTAGATAGCAATGTTACTTTTCCCAAGATACTTAAAATGAGAAGGTAGACTCCTGGTGATCTTGCAGTGCTGCAGGAATAGCCCGCCCCATCAAACAGCTTACACATCAATGCCTAGCAACTTATGCAGCACAACTTTAACAAAATTTCGCTCCACGTTTTTGAAAACTGCATGAGCCTGCAGTCACTGGCTGCAAGCATATTCGCTCCAAGAAAGCGCCCCGGTCCGGCGAGGCCGCTCAAGTTGAAAATTGTATTCCAGGTCAAGCGCAGCTCGCCCGGCCTGCCGCATCGCTCCTAATTAGCTTGCTGCGCATCTGCTATAGTTACCTGCCTGACCTTTGCGACGCTCAGACGCAGAGGGAACGCAGAGTGCGATGCTATGTAAGCTTGGGATAAAATGGCGCATGCTTGAGGCGAGAACCATGAGTCTTAAGGCTGCAATACAAAACTTCCACGCGAAGATAGGCGGGTTTTTAATAAAGTGCACGAGACGGAAGTTGTCATTACCACAAAAAGTGGCAGCTCAAAGACATAAGCAGCTCACATTTCATGTCCGTTCCACTCTGCTCGAGTTTCGTCACCATGTTTCATTTGCTCCATTTCTGTAATTGTCTTGAGTTGTGTGCTGTCGAGTAACTGCCTTTCAATGGATTGATACTCAGCAGGCCAGTAGGGAAATACAATTCCAAAAAACAGCGCATCACGTCGTAACTTAATGATCGAACCCAGCAACAATGCTAAATGACAGCTAATTGTCGGATTACCCTAGCTTTACCGTGTTTCAGTCACAATCACCATTCCACCTCCGAAAAGTTACAGTTCTGCTCTAGATGCGTCAATTTTTGCTCGCAGAATCAATATCGCTCGACGCACCTCGCACAAGACTCGATTCGAACATTGCATTAGTGTCACCATGGCACCACAAAGTCGTGTGTACATCGTGCGCCGCGACAGGTGGTAACGTTACTCTGTGGTCTTGTTTGCGCGCACGTTGGGAGCGATTGTGTCTCTCGGATTCGACTCCGAACTTAGTGCTCTCTGCCATATCTTTCGCACTTCACCATAACATCGTGTGTACATCGTGCGCCGCGGCAGGTGGTGGAGCTACCCTGCCATCTTCAGCCCGCCCACACACAGTACCTCCACGATTCGTCTGCAGAAGCCCGCGATCAGCCTGCAGGCCGAGTCATTACCAGGAGCCTGTGGCACATAATGGCTGAAGGAGGCGGTCGTCTCACCTTGGCCGTGATGTACAGCAGGTTGTTGAGCACCATCTCGGTGGCTTCAGCCGAGCCCCAGCCTTCGCGCCGCTGTTGACCCGCGCTTAGCGGCTCGTTCTGGCAGAAGTACTGCAACGAACCGCGCGACGGCGTTAGCACACAACCCATTCAGATTCCAGCCGTCTGGGAACGTGGAACATCTCGAGGAATGCGGAACACGTGCGGCTCTCATCATGCGGGCAGTCTGTAACCGAATCAATCGCTGCCAACCGCAGGCTTTCGCTTAGAACGGACTGCAACAGCGCCGCTCGAGAGTCGTGAGCGTTGAAATTGCATGTGTCAACCGGCGAGCGTCCCCCCCCCCCCCCCCCCGGGGGTGCGGCGGCACACAATAGCACAGGCGACGGCGCATTACTACGGACCGCCGGGTCCCGCGTGGCCATTCACAGAAGCCATTCACCAAACTGGCCGGCGCCACGTCGGCCAACTAGGCCGCCGACACCGACGCCGCCAGGACAGCGGCGGCGCTGACACGGTCGGCCGGCCGCGGCCGGTCCGAGACAGCGCCCCGTGTCAGGTGCCGTCTGGTCCGGCCGGAGCCGCCGGCTGGCGACGGCGCCCGCGACCAGCCGGCTGTCGCGCCGCCATCCCGGCGCGGACAGCTCAGGCCGGACGGGCCACGCACGGCAGGCCGACGCGGCGGCCGGCTGGCCGACCACACAGCCGCCCACCGCCCACCGCCTACACTCGACGCCCGACTCCACCGGCACGACAGAGCGCGGATGCGTCACACGACAGTCGGAAATATGACCTTCGACTGAAAGGGAGGGGGCGGGGCGGACATCCGCCACCTGGGTCGTATTAAAGAAATGGTGCGGGCGGGCTCGTGCTGCACTGACGCTTTCAGTAACGTATCTCAGACTGTATGTCGCATGTCGTATAACGTATGTCAACGGTACTCCAAAACTACACCGTGTCACGTAACTGATCCACAAGCGGTTCAGCCAAGCCATGTCACATAAAAATGCCACTGACTGTGGCATGCGCTGGCCGTGTGTCACATAACCCTGTTACTACCTGATCTCAGAAAGGCAATCGATTGTCATTATAGGTAACCGACCTAAGTACACTCTCACTTCTAGCTTTTGGCAAAGAAAAACTCTTTGCAGTTGCGTGATGTGACGATTGTATGCCTTTATAAGCTTGCTAGTGCCGTTTTCCCTCGGCGGGTGACCTTTTAACACCGGCTCGAGAAATGGCTGATCAGGTCAAACGACAGCAGCATATTATGAGTCAAACAAAGCACTGCGGCTCACCAAACTGTGGAGCTGTTGACAGATTAGAACCACACAGGTAGTGTGATTCGACCGCATACAAATTGGAGACAAATTGACCTATGGCTTAATATGACCTTGACATCATGACAAACGCCAACCCAAATTGTTCTGAAATGCATCAACTATCATAAACATTTTATTGGTCCCCGCGCCGCCATCTTGCCCGGAGACAGCAAGAGAGCTTTCCCTTCCCGTCGGTTCTAAGATGGCACAGACCGCTGCACACAAGTAAGAGGGTAAGATAGGTGGCAGGGTAAGAAACTAAGGCAGAAGACGGAACACGCAACCACCACAGTGCGCAAGTGTGGGGAACAATAACAGCATTGGTCAAAAACACCGTCCAGGACAGCTCACGACGATCGCACACGCCAGCCTCACCCCTCTCGGGTCAGATGCATCCATCACGTGCTAAAGCATGTCTTGGTGCATGCTTACATGTCATGGCACGTCAGGCCCTATCGTCTTCTCTGAGTTGTTTTTAACCCATTAAACATCTCCACGCCGTCAGTGGTACAGTTCACAATCCAAGCGCTGCCCGAGCGATACGTTACACTTGGAGGGGCGGCGGGGGAGCCATGCAAACTACAGCTCGGCCTCCAATTGACCCCAGGGGGCCGATTCAAAACGTCGGCACCCGGGTGTCCTCAGAGCCCTGCAACACACCCCTATTCGATCAAGCAAGCTGCCTCTAACGAGTTTTGAGCAAGCAGCACCACGCTCGCCAGCAGAGAAAAGCAGGTTTTATTAGCTTATTTTTATTTCTATTTATATATATATATAAGAAATAAAATTTCTACTTTATATTCATTTCATTCCCGTCGACATGTAGGCAACGTTTAATTTCCGAACTTTCGGGAGTAACCTGACACCCTGAGCTCAACGGCGTCGTCTATGCTTCAGAGGCGCACAGGAACTGGCGCCCCAGCTCTTCTCGACTGACAACGTTCAGCTCCAATGCAATTGCCGGCAAAAGCTCCATATAAAATGACATGCAAAGATTGGACGTTTTGATTTGAGGCACGGTTGCTGACATCTGCCGCGCCATACGACATCGACATCGACATCAGACCTCAGTGGAACGTCATCAGCTGCCAGTCGCACAGAGGAAGACATTCGAACAGCCGGAACCAATCAATACAGAGTTGCCTACATTTCAATCTAACGCTGGCTGGCCTCATTCGAATAGTCGGGCCCGGTCAACACGGAGTTGACCACCTTTCAATATAACGCTGGCTGGCCTCATTCCGATAGTCGGGCCCGGTCAACACGGAGTTGACTACCTTTCAATCTAACGCTGGCTGGCCTCATTCGAATAGTCGGGCCCGGTCAACACGGAGTTGACTACCTTTCAATCTAACGCTGGCTGGCCTCATTCGAATAGTCGGGCCCGGTCAACACGGAGTTGACTACCTTCCAATCTAACGCTGGCTGGCCTCATTCGGATAGTCGGGCCCGGTCAACACGGAGTTGACTACCTTTCAATCTAACGCTGGCTGGCCTCATTCGGATAGTCGGGCCCGGTCAACACGGAGTTGACTACCTTTCAATCTAACGCTGGCTGGCCTCATTCGGATAGTCGGGCCCGGTCAACACGGAGTTGACTACATTTCAATCTAACGCTGGCTGGCCTCATTCGGATAGTCGGTCCCGGTCAACACGGAGTTGACTACATTTCAATCTAACGCTGGCTGGCCTCATTCGGATAGTCGGTCCCGATTAACACGAAGCTGCCTACATTTCAATCTAACGCTATCTGGCCTCATGCGGTGATACCGTTGACGGGTTGCCTCTCGATTGCCTGTTTGTTTTACTGCGGCGCCACTTTCATCAAGACAGCCAGAAGGTGGGAGAAGACCGGCAGTCTGCCGTCGGACGTGTATTGAGACGTCCTTTGCCGTGGTGTTGTATGACGTGGTATTCTATGCCTAGCTTAAACCTCGCCTTAATGGGGAGGGGGGGGGGGCAAGCGAACCCCTCCCACAGGTTTTCTGAGAACACCGCTCCGGCCTGTCGTATAATCACGTCCAAATTTTCAGTGTTCTCTAGGGATTGCATTGCGCGTGTTCTGACACTAAAGCTTTGTACCTAGCATGTTTGTTTGTTCCAGTAGCGGCATCTTTTTAGAAAACAATGCGCGGCGATCCTCGGCTGGCGTGGGCAGCGGGAGACAACCGAGGAATCCACGGCTTGTACCCGGCGGGTCACATGAGGACTCTTACATCACAACTGCGTGCTCAAAATGGACAAAACTACATCACAGTGTGCTCAAAATAAAATAGGTAACACATCCGCGCAGGTACGATTGTACTCAGAATCAAACAGAAAACACGCCTGTGTAAGCTTTATATTGCTACGCGACAAGACTCGAACCATTGACACGTCTAAAGAAAACACAGGTTGATTGCAGGGAAAATTGACGGTTTACCATGCGTAGTGTGGTCTGTTATTGATAAAACCTTCTACCAATCACGATACATCTTTGAGACCAATCCACTAGGTTTTCTGCAAGGCTTCATCTTTACTAGTCGTGTACGAGATATAGAGCCAAGATGTAGGGCATGTGTATAAGATGTAAGGTCCGAAATGGAAATCTACGATCTTTTAAAAAACATTGATCCCAAGCACTGTGAGTATAAATATCATTTGGCGCAGCGCCAGCACAGAGGCAGCTCCTGATGACCTGGAAACTGCATGCGTCATGTATTGGACATGTGGCAATAGTGTACACATGTATCGGGATTGATTTTCACGACAAACATCAAACATGCTTCAGATTCTTCACCATACCACCCAAAGAAATTTATCTTAAACTGAACAATGGCGTAAGGCTAAAGTTGCGTATTTGTTACACTGGAACGCTCGAGATGGACCGTGCTTCAACTGCGGAAAAAATAATTAAGCGGTTTCTCTTACCCGTGGCAAACATTACTGTCGAGTTAAAATGTGGACATTCAATGACACCGACTAATATCACCTGCGTAATATCAACTAACGTCACTAGTAAACACCTGCCGCCCACGCTGAAAAAGCAGACGTCCGGGTCAGACCTAAAACCACCAGCCGCCCATACTGGAGGAGCAGACGTCCGAGCCAGACCTGAAACCACCTGTCGCCGATGCTAGAGAGGAGCAGAAGTCCTGGTCAGACCTGAAACTACCTGTCACCCACACTGAAGAGAAGAAGACGTCCGGGCCAGACCTGAAACCACCTGTCGCCGAGACTAAAGGGGAGCAGACATCGGGGTCGGAGCGGCCTCCGCCCATACCGCCGACCAGCAGACGGCTGAGGCCGGCCGGGCCGAGCCCCGATGACCCCGCCGCGGCCCGGGCGGCAGTGGCCGGTGCCCGTCGGCCATCCAATCAGGCCGCCGGCGCCTGTCCGACAGGCCGGCGGCCGCGGACCGTGCCGCCCAGCCCGCCCGACGAGCCGGCTGGGAGCTGTGTGGCCACGCACTGGTCGGCCGTGTCCGGGGACAATGGGCACCGCCGGCCGCTGGCCGCCACGTTTAATCAGCGGTGGAGTGGTCCGACACCACGCCGTTGGACTCACGACGACGAGCGCCCCTACCGAGATGGACGGCTGGAAATTCGCGACGCAGACAGTGACGAAATAGTCGGATTACAGGACGCAACTTTAGCAACATGACCGATTCAGCTGCCGAAAGGACATTTCTCGCAGTACCCTAAGAAACAAGCTCAAATATTTCTCATCGATACTTCGTTCCAATTCACTAACACAACTTAATTAGGGAAACCCTCAACCAACACCCATAAATACAAAGCTTCCCAGAAG